TTCATCCTGTTGGATATACTGTCAACTCCTCCTATCTATGTTCTCCAGGAGTAAATATATACTCCATTGAATGCAAATTTTACCACTTTTAATACAAAAGTCAGTGTCCATTGGATCCGCTAAATATTGACCAGAAACAATAGGGGTCTTCACTGGCCAGAACCGGCCGTACATGCAAAATTTCATGAAGATTGGTCCATTACTGTGGCATGTCTCGTGTTTACAAACTATAATGGTCAGACGGAGGGAGGGTCGAATGGTCACACATGTCTAGATCGACTCAAACTCCTGGGTTCAAACAAAGCTATAATAAATAGCTGACAACATAGTTGTGTATGCTATAATGTGTCAAATCGCACGACCTTGATGAGCAGGCACGACGAGAAATTACACGATAAAGAAATATTCGCTCTAGCTGTGGGCGTGTGGCACCATCTTGTTAAAGCCACATATTCTACAAGTTAGTATTGTTTAACATCAGACAAAAAATCGGTTATCATATGGCCATAAAGCTCCGAATTGGCGGTGACAATTGTGTTCGAATATTTTTCGTTGGGAATGGTCAGTTAGTTTCAGTTTTTGCGTGAGCTGGACTTTATATGGATGTTGGTACAGATCTAAAAAATACGCCATAAGAAGCCGTAAGGCTGTCCTAATTCCTGAGAACGTCGAGGAATCGGCACATTCAGGTCTTCGGCAACAATTTCACTTACAGCAGCGATCTTTTGTAACCGCTCTAGTTAAGATATCAATTTTCGTGAATGCCGGACTTTCAAGTGAAAAGAAAAAATTAGTTTAACAACATAGCTTGACAGATGTCCAATTCCAGACGCAGATTTTTCAAACCACGATATGGATAACCCTGAATATTGATATTGCTAAATGAATTTGTTATATTTTAACCATTACAAATTATATATTCATTGTTACTTATATTTAATTTTTTTATTTCTTTCTTTTTAGGTGAGTATTCACAACTTTGGAGACTTTGGGTCGTTGCGCAAGTATACACATTTTAATAAAAAAAACTATTTGTTACAATATACATAAATTATATAATATTATATTTAATAAAAAGTCCATTAATAAAATATTTATTCAAAAGTTAAAATCATATATAAATTTCATCGACTTAATACCTCCTAGTTTGTTGGGTATTGGTATCTCTATATTCTATTTCTGATGAGATGCAAATTTCTTGGAATTTAATTAACATAGACGCAGACCAATATTCTAATGGAGCTCATAACTATAATTTCACTTGTCATGATTTCACTCTGTCTCTTTTATTATCTTCCTGCGAAGGAAGGATCATAAAAATCATCGTCATCATCACCACATATGCTGTTGTGTTGTTACCAGAGGCTGGCATTTAATATCCTCCTTCATGTCTGCTGGCAGTCAATAAACTCTCTTCATATTCCCTTCGTAGTCAAAAAGGCGACGATGACCAATAATTACCAAACACACACACACATAGACTAAAAGCAAATAAAAAGGGAGAATACAAATTACAACAAAAAACTACAAATATGGAAACAGATTTTTATGACCGACTTCTATTAGATGATGGACATAAATGGGAAGTCGAAAAAAAAACACTCAAGGCCTCCTTCCTTCTATGCACCACAAAAGATGTAATTCGTTTTTATTTTTCTTTTGTTTCCTCCTCCTTTTTGTAATGAGAGACTAGGCATTTTCATAAGTTTTTTTTTTTTTAAGTTGAGCTAAGCTCGTGCTTAGCTTCAATTTGAAAGCTTTTTATGAGGTGCTTAAAAGATCATTATTATTGTGCATATGATTATTTTGTTGTTGCTGTTTATGGCAACAGCAGCCCATGCACAGATTTGTTAAGACGCGTTGAGAGAAACGCCTCTCTGTTTTTATTCGATTATGGCTTAGAGAGAGACAGAGATCTGATGAAACGTGCAACCATGAGATAGTTTTATATTGAAATGCTGCACAATTGTTATGCTTAATAGTATAACGAGGGGCGGTGAATATTGCCAAGAAATGGAAAAATACTGTGATATTGTTTTAAAAATCTTTACATCCGAAAGGCAACTACTATAAAGTAACATTCTTATAATTGGTTATATATTATGGGGAATTATGTGGGATAGATAAATTTTTTAAATAAACAAAAAATAACTTAAAAAACAGAGGATATGTGAGAAACCCCTACGGAAAACTTCCGATTTAATAAGTACTACATTAAATCGTCCTAGAATCTGCAAAATAAATTGAATGCATTATTTTCCCTAATTTCGGTTCAAAAATAACAGATAACCTATATAATTCCGAGAAGGTCCTGTATAAGAAATTAATTTCCGATATATTTGACTGTGCCATATTTTCAACACTTAAAGTTTATCAAATCGGTTATTTTTCGAAATTATTTAAAGGTTTTTAAAATATTTACCATTTGTGGTAGAGGTACCAGAAGAATTTAACCAATGTACCTCATCTTCGGACTTGATCTAGGTGATATGTCGTGCAAAGTTTGGTTCAAATTGGACCTTCCTTTCGCCTTGACCATTTGTGGAAGCGGTAACAGGAGGAGTGGACCAGTGTGTCCTATCTTCGGACTTGATCTAGGATTGGTAAAGATATTTGGTTGTGCAAAATTTGGTTCAAATCGGACATTCTATTCGTCTGATTTTGTTTTTATAAATATTGAAAATGTTGACCATTTGTGGGGGAGGTACCAGAAGAAGTGGATGATCTAGACTTGGGACAAATCGGACATTCCATTCGCCTTATATTTGATTTATAAATATTGACGATTTTAACCTTTTGTGGGGGAGGTACCAGAAAAAGATCACCAATTTGTCCCATATTTGGACTTGATTATAGGTTGTGCAAAGAGTTTGAACAGTTTGTTCAAAAAATAAATAGTTGACCCGTTTCCGAACTAATTCAAGTAACTACACCGCAAAATGAACGTTTGGCACTAGGTCCGGTTCATTTGTTCAGTTAGTTCCATTTGCAAATTCGTTAATTTTTTGTTTTCGTTCACCAGGCTCCTTTCATTTTCTATTTCCAAACATGGACCTATATATTTTAAAATAACAAACTATACGACGTTATTTAACATGCTTCGAAATGTCCGATTTGGGTCAAATATGCACCGTTTTGTTTTGTAGAAGTCCTGCTCTCTATTTGCAAAAAACTCTAGTATTCGATTTTCACAATCCTTTCTAGATACCAATTTTTTATCATTAAAGAAATTTTGCAAAGAAAGAAAAATATGAAAATCGCTTGGCGCCAAGTCCGGACTGTATTGCGGATGCATTAAAATGCTGCCGAAGTTTCTGGCGAGTCACTGTAGATGTCTGTGGCCTAGCGTTGTCCTGGTGGAACACGACACCTCTCCTGTTGGCCAATTCTGGCCGTTTCTGGTCATTTGCTTTCTTCAAACGGTCCAGTTGTTGGCAGTAGAGATCAGAATTTAGCTTTTGGCCATATGGAAGCAGCTCATAATAAATAATCCCCTTCCAGTCCCACCAATTGCCTAGCAGAACCTTCCTGGCCGTTAGTCCTGGTGTGGCCACCGTTTGAGATGCTTCACCGCTCTTTGACAACGATCATTTTCGCAAAGGGTTATCGTATGTGATCCATTTCTCTTCACCAGTCACCATCCGTTTAAGAAATGGGTCTATCACATTCCGTTTGGCCAAGGCTTCGCAGATGGAAATTCGATTCATCCTTTTTTCTATTTATGGTCGATTTTTAGCTCCTGGCGATGTTACTCTCGTTTTTTCATTTTTTTATCACCCTGACCTTGTAACCAATTTCTCAAGCTGATTATACTACCCTCCACATAGATATTATGCACCTAGCATATTCAGCTGCAAAACGAGACACGTATAAGTATTGACCACTTCTATCAGACACCAACAAAAGTAAAACTCAATTGCCAGCTGAGACTGTGGGTAAAATTCGCTCTGACAGACAACAGCAACAACAACAACACTTGTAATGAGCTCAGTAAGATGAAAAGCTGTGCAATGCTACTTGATGCGAACCTACCAAAGCGAAGCCATTGATTGGCAGCAGCCTATGGAATAAAAAACAAGCAAACTGAGCTTTGCAATTATGATGATGACTGCGACTGTTGCTGCTGCTGTTGGTAGAGTAGAATTAAATGGCTGAATGCTAGCTGGTGGATATACGGCTAGATAGATGGATGGCTGACTGGCTGCTGCGCACTCTCATTAAGCCATGCTAACAATTGCGATGTTAGCATTGTCTGTCTATATTCGACCGAGAGACGTTTAATTCTTCTATAGAAACTGAAAATTATTATAAGAGTCGTCATAACTTTGAACATACAATCAACATCTCTGCCTGACTCGTCGGTGTGCAGCATAAGCTGGGTCTTGATCAGTACCTAGTCTAGAAGAAAACAATACAAAAAAAATAGCTGAACTGAAACTGAAACAGAAAAACAATAAAAACATGCTCAAATGAAATAAATGTTAGTTACTTATGGCTTTGTTTGGTGAAGGCTTGACTGAGACGTTGTTTTTGGCAGCTGTGGCCGCCGCCACAGCTAGCTATGGTTTCTCACAGATTCCGAACGTTTAGTTGTTGTGAGTAGGTTGTAGATTTTAGCTCGTTGTCCGTGGAGCGCGCATCAAGATTCTCTTCTAAAGTGGATTGAAACCATCGAATTGATTTTAATTGCAATTTGTGAAACAAGAAAACAGAACACAGAACAAAAACGGAAAAATACAGAAGTCAAACTATTGAATTGAATAACGGGCGCGGCCACAAATTAAGTCGGTTATACTACTTTCTCAGTACAACAAATACCAAAAACAACAACTACAAGAAATTTTAACTAAAACAAATAGTGAAAAAACTTAGTGTATAAAAAAAATTGCAATATTTGTGCAATAATATGGGTGTTTAAAGAAAGTACTTAAAACACAAAAAGTTTTTTTTTTACAAATTTCCAAAAGTGTGTGTGAGGAAAATAAATCACAAATAACAAAATGAAGAAACTTTATGCCAAAACCTCCTTTTCGACCAAAAATCGCAAAGCTGGCAAAAATGAAAATGATCCCAATGCCGCTGCAGATTCATTTATAAAATGTCATGATCCCATTTTGGCATTTCAACCAACAAAATGTAAAGATCTTGGCGGAGATTCGGCTAACAAATACAAACCCAAACACCCTTTTGGTGCTAAACTCCAAAATCTGGAACATTTGCGTAATCCACAATTTTCCAGCGTGGAAAATTCGTCATTGATTATGCCTGTATCCCCACACTCGCCCTATGAAGAATCTCCCTATTATTATACCATAACGGAATTGGAAAACCTACAGATGCTGGATCATCGACACCCTCACTTTCATCATCATCAGAAAATGCAACAGATGCATGGCCACAAAGTCTATCATCAGCACAATCAATTGGTTTTGCAACTTCCCATTGTGACATCGACGACGAACACCGAAGAAGACAACGACCACGACACAATAGATTCTCCCAGCAGCCAACAGCAACGTTTAATAACTTCACCACACCAGCAGCACCAGCCCATCTATGAAGCACCACAAATGAATTCAACGGCATCATCGTCGGGCTCATCTTCGCTATTGTCGCGGTCATCATCAAACTTGTCATCACCCACAGCCACCATAAAATCGTCTATGGGTCTGAGGAGACAAACTTCATTGTCGGCAACAACACCGCCTCCGCCCCCACATCACCAGCATCAGCAGCAGTACTATGACTATTATGATTCCATTCATCATCCTCAAATGTCGTACAACCAACAAACGCACAATCCACAAGTCCAGCATTCAACTAATCAACAAACTCTGAATCGCCAACAGTCGCTGCAGTTATCATCTGCATCCAGCTCAATAACGTCGCCGCGTGATAATTTGTCGCCTAATGGCGATTTTATGAATAACTCGATATCGCCAACATTAGCTGTGTATGTTTGTTTTTTTTTTTCATTATTATTTATTCTCTATCTTTCATTGCTGCGTTCTAATTTATTTATTGAAGTCGTTTTTTTCAATTTTAATACCCTACAATAGGCAGTGGAGATATATATTATATTTTTGTTTATGTGTTTAAATTAATTATTAATAGACAGATTGATCATGAGGATTTTCTTCATAAACATTCTTTTTAATCCCGATCCAAATTTTAATAACACTTTGCTACAAAATTTTGGGGTTGGAAAATTCCTTATGAAGCTCAAGTTCTAGTGAAATAGGACGATGAAAACATGCAGATATCGATTTTATGCTTGAGAGGACCTTATCTAAAATCTTTTGAAAAACGTTTTTGTAAAAAAGCTCGTCTTGTGGTATTTAGTTTACGGTTCAATAAAACCAAGACGAAAAAGACCCATTAGGACTCGAAATAGAAGGAGGATATGTTCTAACAAATTGTGCATCTTTCGATTTGACTGAAGATTTTCTTCATGAACTTTCACCACGCCATTTGACATTTTTCCCCACTCCGATTGAACCACCTCCGAATAGAAACTTTGAACGCATCAATAGCATATTTTGACTGCTAATTTTTTTCTTGATGTGTGGGATTTTATAGAAGTCATTGCTGTCATGTCAGATCTATCAATTCCACGCTTTGCACGGTCTAAAATGCACTGGTTCCAGCCGATGTATGAGAGCTTGCATTGTGATGGTGATGATTCGCCTTCCTTTGTTTGTTTTGCAAATTTCTTCCAAGACTTCAGGCAAACCAATTGTGATATACCACTTAGATTTGACTATCATACGGGAACTATCCAAGCAGGACAGTCGTCACATGGCAAGTTTTCCCAAAGAAACAGGTCACCATTTGCTTCGAAGTGCTTTTCTTGAATTTGAATCGAATATTTCAGCTTTTGCAAGCCTTTGAATCCTATTCTTGGGAAATAATACTATTCACGACCTAAATGACATATAGGGTGAGTGGAAAAAACTGCAGGACTTTATAAAGAACACAGATATCCTAGAATAATAAAGGAACAATATCAAAATGTTTTTTGCTAATACACATGCTTTTACGTACAGAGCATTTGAATGCTAAATACAATGGAAATTAAAGAGGACTAGGTAGTAGACCTCGTTTTTTTGTACTGATGCATTACTGCCTAATCATGTCATAGTAAAACCGCTAATTATGTAGTAATTGAATTATAATCTGCTAGTGTCTATTATAATTCCAAGACTTTAAAAACGAGCTTCCGAACTTATGACCCAATTTTTGTCAATAGTTCTTCCTGAAATTTCGTCATTTTGTGGAATTTTGACATGTTTATATACCTTCAGCCTTAATGATGGCAAAAATGTGTCTCATCGACGTATTGGTTTGTTTCATTGAACCAAATCCTTTTCAGACAATATGTAATCGATTTGCAAATGTCCTTCTGTCTGTCCTCCTGGTGCGTTTGATAACTCTCGACAGGAATAACCGATTTCATCCAAACATTGCACATCATAATAGTTCTTCTAAACTTAATTCAAGATCGAAGATAGGGAATATCGGTCAACTTCCTTCTTCTGGTAGCTCCTCAACAAAATTATCAAAATTTTGCTAACAATTAATAATAATTTTATAATATCATGCCTACGGACTATCCGATTTGAAATACCTATTACATAGATTAAGTCTTATTACCTTTACCAAGCCTAGATAAAGTTGGCATATGGGGCTTATTGGTCCCCTCCCCAACAAATGGTCAACATTTTCAATATTTATCAATCCTATATACACTATATATAAAACTAATAATAAAACATATGTGTAATTCTGAAGACCTCCGCAAACCATAGGCTGGGATATATAGAGATTGGAGAGAGATTGTAAATAGTTCGGGCCGTTTCGTTTAATGACGTTTTTACTTGTTCAATTATATGTATAGATGTACCTCCTCTTTTGAGAATTTTAAAATTCTTAACCGATTTTACTAAATTTTTTATATGGAAATTTTGTCTTGGATGCATCCCACGAAAGTTTCACATTGATGTTCTTTTTTAGTTTTGTAAAAATAGCTCCTTATTTAGTCGCTCTTGACCAAGTTTTAGAACAAGTCGTGTGGCTATTTTGATTGTTGGTGTATTTTTTCCATTTCTAAACATGAGTTGGACGTCCATACACAACAACCTATGTATGTTTACTACATATATACACACATTTGTCTATTACAACAAGTCTGGCCGGCTGTCCGCGGTTGCCCTTTTGCATTGCATTTCATTATTTTATTGGGTTTTCAGTTTCGATGTGAAGTTTACTGTTGTTGGTGTTATTTTCTGAGTGTGTGGGTTACGAATAACGATGATGTTGTTGTTGACCAGACAAAATCAGTTGTTGTGATGGTGTTTTTTGTTGACCGGTCTTTTGTTGCCTTCAGTATTGGGTTATTGGTATTACTATCGATGCTGCTGCGATCTCATTGACACTGCCACTAGCCATTGTATTTTGCCTTGAATAATCATCGTCCAGATCAGAGAGTGTTGCGAATTTATGTTTATTGTTTGTCGCCGCTTTTATTATTATCTAAAATAGTTCGGTGACTCTGCGTGTTTCGTTTTTTCATGTTCATAGCGAAATAGAGTTTTTATAGCGTAGAGCAGTTTTTAATTGTCTTTTTCTTATCAAAATTTCATTCGAAATTGTTATGGTCAGAATTTTCATGTTCTTTTACGATAAACTATGATAGTAACGATCTACGCAAAACAATTGTTGTTTAGGCGTGGATTTTTTTGAGATTTTACGATTTTTTTATCATCAAAAGATGCGAGTGGGGGTATGCGTAGACAAAGGGTCAGACCATAAAACAAAGAAAGTTATAAAAGTATGTATATATGATCACAATTAAGCGTACAGAAATTACAAAAAACATATATGTTATGAAGGGAAAAGTACATGATCTCTAAAAAATCTCCAATAAAATTCCTATGAGAGTTGCTTGCCTAAATTCAAATAACCAATTAAATTATATTTTGACCTTAACAAATTTCTTTACATTCCTTATGTTTAATTACAATTTTTTGTGAAAAGAACAGTTCACGATCTCTAAAAAAAATCTTTTCATAAATTCCAATATGAATTATTAGCCAAAAAAATTAACCAATGAAATTATATTTTGACCTTAACATTGACCTCAACGAATTTCTTTACATTCGTTATGTTAAATACGTTGACTTTCATGTGAACAAATTGTGGCAAATTCCATACAAACTAAAACAACAGACGTTTATAATTTAAAAATCGCGTAGGCTGGCTCTGCTGTGTGTGCATCTCACAAAGGCGACTTGTATTGTCTAAGCTTTTTATGGATTTATTTGTTTATTATTTGTTAGCTAGTTTTTTGGTTTTTTTATAAAGCAACTAAATACTGTGAGAACATTTTGCCATTTGTGTGAGCCGGATATATAGCCAATTAGCAAATTGTTTAGCTTTTAAGATGCCACTAAACGGATATTTTAATCTCAATTATTTTTATAGTCTTCCTCCTGGGAACCAGCTCGGTCGGTTAATTTTTATTTTTATAACTACTATTTGCCTTGTGATTTTATTACTCTTGTTTGGTTTAATTCTGTTTAGCAATGATAAGATAAGCAAAAACCATGGAAATTGTTTAAGACATATTAGCAAATTTGGGACTTTAATGTTTCCAAGGAATGAAAAACCTTCTATACTCAGCAGAGTTTGACGGTTTGATAAAATTATAGTTATAAAAAATTATTATTAATTTTTTTATAACAATTTATATCCGCCACCATAAGGAGGATTTTAAAATATCTAAATTCGATCCGGTATTATATATGGGGCAAAGCCATGGTAAATTTTTGGTAGGAAGATATGACAGCCAATTCCGTTCCGTATTGATCAATGGGGCTTACACAAAAACTTGAGTCAAAATTTTTAATTTTTGTAAGAGTTTTTTCATCCAAATTTTTAAATACATCCAATTTGGTTAGAATATTTTCCAAACTCCGCAAAATACCGAAATTTGAAGGGTAATTTTATATGGGAGGTATACCAAAACGTGAACATCGATATTTATTATTTTTGGTAAAAAGATTTGACAATCAACGAGAACGCAAAATATCAAATTAGATGAAATCATGTCCAAAGTCCGTAAAATACAAGAAAATGATTTCGAAACTTTAACCCCCAATACAGACCATCTAGTTGAAAAACGAGCCCAAATTCTCCAATATTTCGAATATATGGGAAGTGTCATTGTATGGAGACTATAATAATAAGGTAAACCCATATTGATATCTTTTGGTAGAAAGCTTTTTTTAACGTAACCAAGCTACGGTAATTTGGGAGATCTTCTAAAAATTTGAACAATATTGAACGCTTTTGAAAATACGATTTATTACCTAATGAGAATTCAATATACTAAATAATAGCCAATTCGGTTAAAAATATGCATGAAATCCCCAATGACGTTCCAAAAATTTCCAAAATACCGAAATTTGAGAAATACGTTATATGGGGGCTACATCAAAACCATATCCAAAATCCATAAACGACGAATAATGGGTAATTCCGTTATATGGGCTACCTCGAAACTTGAGTCAATATCGATAATTTTTGGTGTGAATATTTGGGCGAGCCATTATATAGGGCTATAACAAAAAAATGGAAAAAGATTTGACGTGCAAGGAGAAGCCAAAATATCAAATAAGAGCCAATTCGGTTAGAAAACATGGTCATAATCCCTAAAAGAACGAAAAATGGGTGATTTCGTTATATGGTGCCGGCCCGAAACTCGAGTCAATATTGCTAATGTTTGGTATGGAGTTTTTCTACTAAATGAAAAAAAAATACCATCAATTTGGTTGGAGGCCTGGCCAAATTTCCGAAATATGGGACGTACCGTTATTTGAGAAATGTATACCGTTTTCAATACCAACATTCCAGATGTAGTAGCAATGTAAGTGTAAATGCTCTATCTAAAAT